GCTGATTTTGATGAGAGAGCGTAAGCTTAAGAGGGAAAAACGAGAAGACGAAGGCTTCACTACTTTAATCTGAGGCTTACTGGGCTTTAAATAAGGCCCATTATCTAACCCAATGGAAACCTTTTCTGTGAGCTAGAGTGTTAGGTTTGGCTTATAATCTTCCTCTTCTTCTCTTCTCGTTCGTACTCAGAGACAAGGGTTTAAGGATTTCGGAAGAGCGAAAAACTCATTTCTACTTGTGGATCATCCTCTTCCTCTCTGAAGTTCGTCTATAATGGCGGAAGAGAAGGTGAGGATTCGTCTGGTGTTTGAGGATCGACGGATTTTGAGTAAGTATCAGAAGAGGGAAGGTCTAAAGCGGAGCTGGGTTGTTCTGAATCGTAAATGTCAGCGAAGTGTTTCGGAGTTTTCTGATCATCTCCTTCGCACATTCAGTCTCTTTGAAGCTTGTCCTCATGGCCTCTCTCTATCCGTACGCCTTCTCCTTTTTGCCCTAATTTTCGTTGAAGTTATATCGCCAGTGTTGACACCATTAATGGTTACATTCACTTCTTTGTGGGTCTTTCTATGTTGGTGATTTAAACTTAGAAAATATTCTCCTTTGATTTCAGATGGAAGGTTTCGTTTTACCGCCATTTGAGTCGAGCTGTGTATTGAAGGATAAAGATATCGTCTGGTTAGTTTCATGAATTGCTTCTTTCATATTGCTCTATTAAGTACTAGGGTTAAAGTTTTGGTTTTTTTTCTTTGGGTAGTGTTAAGAAGAAGAAGGAATCTTTGTTGGAGATTATGGGGGAAGACAGTGAAGAGAATAATGTTTGTGCTGCGATTGAAGCTGAGGAGAGGCCTCGGATTCTTCCTGGTGAAATGCTTCTTGCTAATGTGGAATTTCAGAAGGAAACTGGAGGATATGAAAGTGAGTCTGAGGAAGATGAGGTCGAAGAGAAAGCAGAAGAGGTTGTGCCCGAGAAGAAGACTTCGAAGAAACGTAAAGCTTCAAGCAAAAGCCCAAGCTCCAAGTAGGATCATGACCAGAACGATTCTTAGTCAGTTAAATGTGGGTATTTCTTATTTATTCTTGTTTTGATGATGATGTAGGAGGAAGAAGTGTAAGCTAGCTACTACTGAAGAAGCTCCCGTGGAAGGAGAAAACGTGGCTGTTGTAAGCAAAAGCAAGGCTGTAAAGAAGAGGACGTCACTGGATGTACAGAGTACTGAAAACGATGAACAGAATGATGCGAATACCAAGTCTATGACCAAATCAAAGATGTAGGTGTATGTTTTGTTTTCTGTGTCAAAACACACTAGCAGCTCTTAAATTATCTCTCACTGGTCGTTTCTCCATTGGCCTACTTTTGAGTTGCAGGTCCTCGCAACAAGAGGAGAGTAAAGAGCCTAACGAATTGTGCAACATGTCTGCTGAAACTAAAAAGGTTTGAGTTTACTTTATTGTCTCAATGAACTAGAGGGGCTTGTATTGTGTTTGTTTTTTTTCTCTTAAAGATTGAACGATGTGTATATACCAAATTAATCTTCTGATGTATGTAGATGCAGGGATTTGCTTGTTGTTTCATATGCTCCATTAGCTTCCTCTCTGATCCAGTTGCAACGAGGAATGTGAAGCTAACTCTTCTTTATAATTATTGTAGATACCTAGCAGAAGTGCTCGGCGTAAAAAGGCTAAACGGCAATGGTTGAGAGAAACGAAAAAACTAGAGAAGGAAGAGGTTCTTCTTCAAATACTTCAAATGTATCTATCACGTTTTTTGGATATGTATAGCCTACACTTCAACACTGATATTCTTACTTGTTACACGATTTGCAGCTTCAACAGAAGCAGTTGGCTGTAGCACCCATCCAAAAACCAGCTATCATTATAGATTCCCAAGTAACTCAAGAAAATCACACTGAAACTCTTGAAAGTCCACAGCCAGATGAACATGGTGATGGTGTTGGGGATGAAGTGGTTCCTGTGGTAGTGAGGCCAGGCCATATTCGCTTCAAGCCGCTTGGTAACTTTTTATGTAAATGTTTTTCTGCATAACTTTAGTGCATTTGTTAGTGGCTCCTCACAGTTTCTCTTAATGCTTACTTTTCAGGTGGAACAGACCAAGCTTCCCTTGAAAGTGAACCTCCCATGGTATGACTTACCCCTATCTTTGTATCCTTAAAGCTTTGCCGGGTCTGAATCTGTAATGATCATGACTTGATAATGTTAGGAAAATATCTCGTGGAATGGAAACATGACGAAGAAGAAAGGCCAAAAATGGGGCACAGAGAAGACAGGATTCGCCAAACGATACGCTCAGGATTTCAATGAAGATACTTACCAGGCACAGCCCGCCGAAGCAGAGACACTTGCTAAGGGTCCGATCAACTATGAACAGCTTGTGGCTTACACTGGCTCAGTAAAGGTTTGCTTATAGTATTTACTACCCGTAGGTGTTTATGGATTCAGTATTTTAAAACTCCTCACTGCTCATCTGTTAATGTTGCAGAAAGGAGACGTAATTGCGTACCGCCTCATTGAGCTGAGATCATCTTGGACGCCTGAGGTTTCACCTTTTCGAGTAAAATTTCTGACTCCTTCTTTTGAGCCAATTTGATCAATCAACTCTTTTTTTGGGGGAATCAAAGCCCTTTACAATATATTTCTCCTGGTAGGTTGGAAAGATAAGCTACTATGATCCAGACTCCAAGAAGGTGACTTTGATGCCTGTTCAAGAATATCCAATTGAGAAGAAGACAGAAGAGGACGATGACGAATCCTCAATGGAACCTGATACATCTCTTTATAAAGAAGATGGATCCTTGGAGGTATGCTTCATGGTTTACACTATGCCATCATAATCTAAAGAGACAAGATTACAGATCTGGTTCTTGTACTTGTTTGCTTGCTATGCATTGCAATTCTGAATATGAAAGATTTTTGGCTTCTGCAGATAGAATTTTCTGCTCTGCTCGATGTCCGCTGCATCAATACTACCAGCTCAGATTCCGCTGAAGTCGCCAAGTCAGCACCGCCCAAGCCTGACCAAACAGCTACAAATCAAAAGCTGAACCCAAACAACGGTTTACAAACCCCTGTAAAAGGTACTATTGCAACAATCTGAGCGTGATATTGTATTGACATGGAGGAAACTTATTGGACCTATGTAAATTGCAGAAAATGGTAAAGTGAACCCTTGGGAAGAACTAAGTGAAGCATTAAGTGCAAAAAAAGCAGAATTGTCTCAGAACAACAATGGCTGGAACAAGAAAGGAAGTTCAAGTGGAGGCTCGTGGTCTTACAAGGCCCTGCGAGGAAGCGCTATGGGTCCGGTAATGAATTATCTAAGATCTCAGAAAGAGATCTGAAGAAACTGGGACACATCTTTAGAAACTCTGCTGTTTATTTTTTCTTCATTTTGGACATGAAAAGCTCAGACAAGAGAAGAGAAACCATTTTGTTTTGATCCTGTGAAGCCATTGCTGAGTTTTTGTTCGGGTAAAAAAGGTCTCTGTATAGGGAAAAACGATGAATGTGTAGTACTCCCAAGATCTTTTTGAATTTTATTTAAGTTGAATCCATTAAAAAATTTAACATGAATGTGTTCCTTTTTAGATTATACGACATCCATTTTTGATTTCTATGTTGCTTTTTGATGTCGCCATTTACATCAAGTTGGTGGGAAATAAAAATAAAATCGGCTTAAAAGTTAAAACAATGACTCATGACCGTTCGTTTCCTTTGCAAGTCAACCGTTACACGTCGCGTGAGCTACAACGTTTAAGCCATTAACTCTCTCTTCACTGATTGGTCCGTGTATTACACGCTCTCATTTCGCGCGTTATACTGCTCATTTCGCCGTCCATTGCTCCTCCGTCCCGAAACCTACAAACAGAAAAATTCCCTTTTTTTTTTCTTAATTGAATTTTCCTCTGAAAAAAATTTCATCTTTTCGACGACGAGAGAATCTACGATTGATTCGTTTTTCCGGCAGTAATCGATTTCTCACTCGGAGCTCCGGTATTACTTTGATCGGAGTCTTCCTCACTCCAGTTTTTTTCAGATCTGGGAAAAATCACAGATGTCGAAACCTTGGGGAGGAATCGGCGCGTGGGCCGATGAGGCGGAGCGTGCTGACGAAGAGCAGGCTGCTGAAGCTACAGCGACGGCGGCGGATTCGCAGAGTTTCCCGAGTTTGAAGGAAGCTGCGACTGCAAAGTCT